GTCAGTGATAGTGATTTTGTGCCTCTTTGGGATGGCACCACAAGGAGTCGTTCACTTGCAAAACGCAAGCTTCTGGAGGGTGCATACGTTTTAACTAGGGGGTTTAGGTATATTGGTGCAGCTCCAGTTGTTGTCTTATAGGCAAACATCAGTACCTTGAATTTAATGCGAGCAGCTACTGGTAGCCAGTGTAAACTGATGAAGAGAGGTGAAACGTGAGATTTTTTTCGGCTTGTTAAGACCACTCTCGCTGCTGCATTCTGGATCAGTTGCAGAGGCTTGATAGTACATATGGGAAGGCCCGCCAAGAGAGCATTACAATAGTCCAGTCTGGAGAGAACAAGAGCTTGGACAAGGAGTTGTGCAGCTTGCTCTGATAGGAAGGGTCTAATCTTCCTAATGTTGTATAAGGCAAATCTGCAGGACTGGGCCGTTGTAGCAATATGGTCTGTGAAGCTTAACTGATCATCGATCACAACTCCTAGGTTTCTGGCTGTCCTGGAAGGAGTTATGGTTGATGAACCCAGCTGTATAGAGCAGCTGTGATGAAACGATGGGTTTGCTGGGACCACAAGCAGTTCTGTCTTAGTAAGGTTGAGTTGAAGGTGATGGTCCTTCATCCAGCTAGAAATATCTCTCAGACAGGCTGCAATGCGGGCAGCTACCGTCGGATCATCTGGTTGGAATGAGAAGTAGAGTTGAGTGTCATCAGCATAGCAGTGATAATAAAAGCCATGCTTCTGAATGACAGATCCTAATGATGACATGTAGATGGAGAAGAGAAGAGGTCCAAGCACTGAGCCTTGTGGAACCCCAGTAGCAAGAAGTTGTGAAACCTCACCCCTCCAAGACACCCTGAAAGACCTACCTGAGAGGTAAGACTTGAACCATTGGAGTGCGGTTCCTGAGATGCCCATCTTTATGTGGGTGGACAGGAGGATCTGGTGGTTAACTGTGTCAAAAGCAGCAGACAGATCCAGCAAGATGAGTACTGAGGATTTGGAAGCTGTTCTTGCCAGTCTCAGGGCTTCAGTAACCGAGAGCAGGACAGTCTCAGTTGAGCAGCCGCTTTTGAAGCCAGATTGGTTGTTGTCCAGGAGGTTGTTCTGTGCAAGGGACATAGAGAGTTGGTTGAACACAACTCGCTCAAGTGTCTTTGCAATGAACAGAAGAAGAGATACCGGTCTGTAGTTTTCTAAAAGTGCTGGATTTAGAGAGGGTTTCTTAAGCAGTGGGGTTACCCGAGCCTGCTTAAATGCTGTGGGAAATGTACCAGTGTGAAGAGAGGTGTTGATATTGTGAGTAAGCGCAGGTATGACTGAAGAAGTAATGGCCTGAAGTATGTGAGTGGGGATAGGATCAAGTGGACAGGTAGTAGGATGATTGGAAAGGATAAGTTTGGAAACGTCTGTCTCCGGGAGTGGAGTGAAGGAGGAGAGAGAGTGTGTATTTGTCGTTATGAAGTTATCATCGGTTTGTGGTGTGGAGAATTGGTCATTGATGTTTCTTGTTTTATTTATGAAGAATATTTCAAAGTCATCAGCTGTAAGAGTTGATGAAGGAGGAGGGGGAGGAGGACAGAGAAGAGAAAGTTTGGTAAAGTGTGCGAGAGTCAGAACAGTTGTTAATTTTGTCGTGGTAGTATGTCGTTTAGGCGTGTGCAGCGAACCCAGTATTTGTATCTGTATTTGTATCTGTAACAATCACAAAATTGTTCGTATCTGTATCTGTATTCGGATAAAACTGGAAGTGGGCGGAGCTTGAACCAGAACTTTGTACAGTTATACTTGATAAGACCGTTATTATGTTTATGGTATTACAGCCTATTTTTTTCTTAGTTATCACTGAACAAATATGCCGTGTTTAACTAAAATATATATATGTTTTATGATTATAACATTTATTTAAATATCTTCTAACAGTCGGAGCCTATACCCTTGTATTGTATAGGCAGTGCTTCGAGATGTAGTGCGATTGTGCTTCGAGCAACGTGAGTTCGAGTCCCTGCTTGGGGACCTTTCGTGATCTGATAAATAAATATTTAAATATATTCTAATTAAAACAGTAAGGGTTCCTACGCAGTATAGAAATATGGAAATTGATTTAGGTAATTTCCAGGAAATGCATGGAAGGCAACTGCAACACTACTATTTTATTTGCGTTTATTTCATTCTTTTAAACTCATTTACTTCACACACTTGTTACTGTGTTGTAATTTTAGAGGTTTATGTAAAACAACATGATTTCCTTTGGCTCACCGGTTCCTGTGCAGTTTAAAAAGTATTTCACTTAAGTAATTTGCAGGTCTGGAAAAGTGGGCTATGGAAAAAAGAGAACAGAGTATGGACAAATATTTGTGTTTCGACTATTTGCCCTATTCAGTGTTCTAAAATATAAAATTAATAATTTCTAAGAATACAGTTGTCATACAAGTAGAGAGATTTCATGACATTTAGTGATCATTTGAACACGACTGAATTAATTCAACGCACACATTTTCATTATGCAGAACTCTTTAAACAAGTCTTTTTTTGAACGTCACTAAACAAATGTGTGTGTTAGGGATGTTCATGGGGCAAATTCCAAATGGAAGGGATCTCTTGGAGTGGGGACTTTGGAGTGAGCAGGGCACGTGCGTGCCATTATGTAGTCGTTTGGAATGCACTTGGGAAAGCGAGGCAGCGAGCGACTTAATTTCCTCATTATCTTCAGCTGGCATGTTCCCGTGACAACGCAGCACAGTGTCCGTCAGCAGATGTCGCTGTTTTAACTGTCATAAATGTCTTTTTATTGTTGTTAGCATAACTGTTGCAAAACATACAATTTATATTTTAAAAAGTTTTTAAAGCTATATAATATATAAAAACTAATATATATATAAAACTTTTTAAAATATAAAATGTGTATTTTTTTTATGCCGGTGTCCATCAGCGAATCTGCTGATGGACCCCGTGCTGCGTTGTCATGGGAACATCCCAGCTGAAGATAATGAGGAAATTATGTCGCTCGCTTTGCCAAGTGCATTCCAAACGACTACATAATGGCACGCACGTGTATATAAAAACAGTAAAAAAAATGAAAGCGTTTTTGAGAGACGGAGACGTACAGAGATGGCAACGCGGCTGTTTGATTGACGATCGCACTGTGCTTATTCCATTCATTCGTGTATCGTAGCCTGTAAGGTTTAAATCATTGCCTTTTAAATATACACATTTATATATATAAACAGTTGAATGTGTATGATGTAGCCTATTGTTTTAGGTAATATTACTCTTGAAGCGAGCGACATAATTTCCTCATTATCTTCAGCTGGCATGTTCCCGTGACAACGCAGCATGGTGTCCGTCAGCAGATATCGGTGTTTTACTGTCATAAATGTCTTTTTATTGTTGTTATCATAACTGTTGCAAATAAACATACATTTTTGTATTTTAAAAAGTTTTTAAAATATGCTATATAATATATAAAAACTAAT